CTTAGTCTTTTACAGTAGTGGTCCTATGCAGTATTTCTCCTTTTGTGACTGACTAATTTCACTCAGCATAATGTCCTCAAGGTTCATCATGTTATGCAGTGGCTTGCAGCTTCCTTGTTATTTTTCAAGTTAGCATAATATTCCATTGTGTGTATGTACCACAGTTTATCCATTCTTCAGTTGATGGACCCTTAGGCTGTCTCCATCTTTTTGCTAATATCAATAGTGCTGCTATGACCCCCATGACATTTATAAGGAGGCAAATAAGGACTATTATAGGCTGAATAGTGGTGGCGGTGGCGGTTGCGGTGGTATGCATTGAGTCGGTTCTGACTCATAGTGACCCTGTGTAGGGGGTCCGAGGCTATAAAGCGTTACTTTTCTCCTGCAAAGTGACTGGTGGATTCGAACTGTTGACCTTTCATTTAGCCGCCCAATGCGTAACCACTACACTACCCCAAAAAATATATGTCGAAATCTTAAATCCTGGTTCATGTGAATGATTTTGCTCGGAAATAGGATCTCTGAAGACATTATCAATTAAGTTCATATGAGGTCATACTTGTGTATGGTGGGTCCTAATCCTATCTGAGTGAGATCTTAAAAAAAAGCAGAGACATATAGAGACAGAAAAAGGAAAGCCATATGTAGGTGTCTCTACAGTTGAGAAACACCTGGAGCTTCTAAAAGCTGAGAGAGACAAGACCAGTCTCCCTCTGGAGGTTTCAGAATGAGCATGGTCCAACTAACACATTGATTTAGACACCTAGCCCATAGACCTATGAGGCATTCATCTTTGTTCTTATAAGCCACCTCTCTTGTACAGCAGCCTTGAGACACTAACTAGTACAAGGGTTATAAGTCAAGTTGTAGCACTGGACTGAACCCAGCTAACTAGCCTAAATGGGCATCAAACGCTCCACCTTTGCAATTCTTATGTGCTGGATGCTGGTCAACCACCCTCGATGTATGCCAAGAAATACCCACTGGGATTCTGAGATGCTTTCCCACTGTGAAACCACCTATGATCTTGAGGTTCTCCTCTCTTCTTACCTATGGTCCTGTCTCCATCAGGGTCCACCTCCTGAGCCATGCTGAGTGCCTCTGTGGTGGCGATGTCCACATTACAGGGCACTACCACCAAGTTAATTGTTTCTTGCTTCTGGATATAGCTTTTAATGAGGGTTTTGATCTATAAGAAAAAGTGGCAATGAGTGTCCATGAGAATGGACAAAAGGAATGAGTGCTGAAATAGGTCCTGCCCTGGTATTCATCTCAGGTCCCAGAGTCCCCAGGGTACATGCCTAAAGGATGTAACACAGGGAAATGAACCCACAAACATGATCTAGTGGCACCTACCTAAGCAGCATTACGAGAAATTAAGCTCTCTGAGAGAGCAACATAGCTCTGGGGTCTAGGAAAACTGTCAAGAATTGTGATGGTTAATTTTATGTGCCCACTCAACAAGGCTATTTGGTCAAACACTAGTTGCTGTGAAACCAACTTTTAGATGAGGTTAACATCTACAATCATTTGACTCTAAATAAAGGAGATTACCCCATAATATGTGGCTATACCCCATCCAATCAACTGAAGAGCAAACACTGAGGTTTCTGAAAGGTAAAAGAGTTGCAGTTCAAGACTAGACCAAAGGTATCTTCTGGAGCTTCTAGCCTGTTGTTTGACCTACAGATTTTGGACTGGCCAGCCCATCAACCACATGGACCAATTCCTTTCATATCAATCAATGTCACTTTTTCTGTGTGTATGTGCATGTATGGACACACACACACATCCTATTGGTTCTGTTTCTCTGAAGAATCCTGACTAATAAAAATGTTTTAGCTGATAAACTATCTCTTAAAATGTCCAATCTGGTGGCCAAAAAACAAGATGCCCCCACCAAAAAACAGTAATAAGAATGGACTCATTCCCTAAACCTTTCATCCATACAGTGAAGTTCAGTTATACTCAGACATCATTCTGCCAATTTCCACATGCCAAGAAATGTAACTATGACACAAAATAAGATTCCTTATAGAAAACACAAAACAAATACAAAAACCACTTCCTATTGTGGCAGTTAGCCTCACACTCTCCAGAGAAGTTTTCTTCAGACTTGACCATGGATGTAGTGACCCACTCTTGTATGCATGTCTTCAAATATCCATTCTTTAAGACCCAGCCCTGAACTCACTGTTGCTCTCATACAGCAAGCGTTCCACCCTTGTCCCTGTCCCAAAGGCCAAAACCAGATGAAGTCTGAAGTCTCACCTGGCGTCCAATGTCAATTGGCTGATCGCCCACGGCCACCCTGGTTATACCAGGAAGGTCAATCAAGGTCAGGTCTGGGACATTTGGGGATATGATCTCCAGATTAATGAGCTCACGACTGATCCCCATTCCGTCTCCAGCAATGGCGTTCTGGGCTAGAGAAGAGAGGAGAAAGGACAAAGTGAATTCAGGGAAGGCTCTGGAAACCCTTCCACTCACTGTGACACATGGAGTAAGGTACATATGGGCAGAGTCAATTTTCTATTATTAGAGAATGAACTTCCAAGAATAACTCAAGGCATTTTTGCCAGAGGCTAGCACAGTTTGTAGAACAAACCATTGGAATCATCTTCATGGAAGGCACCATCCTGTACCAGCCCAAGCTGAGCAGAGTTAAAAAGTTCTTCCTGGCATGACAGTTACATCCTTCCATTGACGTCAGTAAATTCACAGTGAAGTACAATCAAAACAAATAAAACACATGGAAATTCGTAAACCATGGATTGGAAAAGTCAGTGGTTAAATTGCTTTATTTAGGCAAGATGAACATTGGTTGTATTTCCTTAAGAGATTTTATTTTGTTCCTTCTTTAGAAAGCTCTCTGGAAATATAATGGAGTACTGGGGTGGCATTGTGGGTTAATACACTGAACTACAAAGTCAGTTTGAACCACAACGTGGCAGTTCAAATTCACCAGCTGCTCCTATACAGAAACCTTATTCAGGGTCGCTATAGGTAGGAACTGACACCACAGCACTTAACAACAACAACAAATAGAAAAACAAGGTATTAATGTATTCCTTTAAATTATTAGCTAGTTCCAACTTTATTTCTATAGCTGGAATGTCTTTTCAAGATCAAAAGGGCACCATTTCCCTCAGGACACAGTTGAGAAGGGATAGGAAGGAAGGTGGAATAGAAATAGGAACCACAGGAAGTGGGATAACTGCTGTTGCAAGGAGGGGACTGCAATCATTGAGATGAAACCCAATGTATGATTGTAATGCATAAATGTAAAACAGAGGATCTTCTCTGTAAATCTTGGTTCAAGTCACAATTTAAAAAGTTAAAAAAAAATGTGTTCTGTATTGAACTATGTGCTGCAAAGGCTTTTCAGCATCCCATAAAATGCATAAATCTCCACCACAACTTGCCTCTGGCTCTGATGTTGAATGTTGCCCACCAAACACTACTCAATTTTTGCAACTTTTGCTCATTTACCCCAGTTTGTTCATAGCCACACAGAATAATCCGATCTACAAGCTCCTCAAATATTTTAAGAGTCCTCTTGAGCTTGTATTTCCTGTAGACTAGGTTTCCAAAATTTTGATCAACCTAACTACTGCTTGGAGTCCTGGTATGGCACTGTGTGCTAATGCATCAGACTGCAAAGCCATTTGAACTGCAAGGTAACTGGTTCAAGCTCACCAGCTGCTCCTTGGAAACCCTATACAGGGTCACTATGGGTTAGAATCAACTCGACGGCACTTAACAATAACTACTACTGCTTAATGGATATCTCTTTTTTTTTTTTTTTCTGTTTCTCTCAGGATGCCTAGAATAGAGCATGATCTTCCAAATATTGCATGAATAATGCAGAATAAAATAGCTTCCCTTGTTCTGGGCCCTGTGCTTCTTCTATTGTTGTTGTAAAGTGCCATTGAGTCGGTTCCCACCAATAGTGACCTTCTAGAGGGTTCTCAAGGAGCGACTGGTGAGCCTGTACCACCAACCTTGCAGTTCAAACTGACTATATCTTAAATTCATATTAACATTTTAGGCCAAAATTCTTGGCTTATTTTTATTTTTTTTTAATAAATAAGAGTTAATGGTTGAGCCATGTCTTACCTATTCTGTTTTCTTCTATATGTTTTTAAGATTCAACTGTAGGAATTTAAACTATTCCATTCAGATTTTGTCATGTTACATGCAAAAGTGAGAAAGTGTAGACATTTTTGGTTCCCCACTTTCCATTTCACATGCAGGCTGTCCAGACTTCTTGCCTCTTCTTTGGAGTCTGAGAGCTAACAATAGTACTCCTTCAGCCTCAGTATCGGTTACCTCTTAATTAAACTAACTGAGTGTGCTTCTGATCTTTACACTGTGACTAGAACACAGCATTAACCCAATTAGGGCTGACATCACTAGTCCTGTAGTGACCTGCTATAAATCTTTATGGTAGCAGAAAGCCTCACCATTCTCCCACAGAGAATAGCTGGTAGTTTCGAACTGCTGACCTTGTGGCTCGCAGTACAATTCATAACCACTATGCTACCAGGGTCTTAGGGTAACCTAAAGAATGGGTAACAAGTAAATAAATATCAAGAACGGTAGCAGCCTTGGTTGTTCGACTGTCAGTGTGTATGTGTGGAAAACACTCCTTTTGACTATATTTCATCTCAGACTAAATATGGAAGAAGCAACTGTGTGAAGAAATCATTTCTGTGGAGGAAGGGAATGCAAGTGGTATATTAGATTAAACACTGGACTGGGAATTAGGGGACATTGGTTATTATCCTAATCCTGTGACATTCGGGTTGTGTGACTAGGTGGAATGCTTTTTTTTGGCATATTTCATACGATCCAGAACTTAGATTGGAAATTATCACAAGAATGATTGATATGACATAATCCACTAATTGTTTCTAATGATCAATTTCACCCTCTCCCTAGCTGATAAAACCACCAGTTTGTCCCTGGCTGTATAGCAGCTTACATGAAAGACTATAATTTTCCTGGCTTCCCTCCAGCCATATATGGTCATGAGATCAAGTTCTGGCCATTGGTGTGTTTGAAAACATATGTAACTTCCAGAGAGTGTAACTGAAGAGCGGGGATCAGAATTCACACATGTCTAGCAGGTGGAATGCAGACTCACTGACCCAATTGTGAGGGGCCTTGGGGCTGTAGGCCTCTCACAAAGGAGCAACAAGATAGAAGGAGCCTAGGCTCTTGACACTGTAGAACCCTTAAACCGGGTCTTTGTGTTCAATCTAGGTTTCAACTTGAAAGAGAAATACAATTTGCACATCGCTGAAACCACTGTGTCCCAATCTATGTGCACAAATGACCGTAATGATTCCTTATGCTCATCTTTATATGCATGATTCTTAACAATGAGAGTCTGGCACTTTTGCCATGGAGAGAGAAGCTGTTTCTCCCTCTGCCCCTTGAAACTGGGTTTGATCATGTGATGTCTTAGACCAATTGGCATGTAAAGGTAGTCTGAAAGGTGTTGAAACATTGGGCTTGCCCTCTCTTGCTGCTGGGAACCCTTGGCCACCAGGTGAAAAGGTTGGAAGTTCAAGTTCACCCAGAGGCATTTTTGGAGAAAGATCTAGAAACTTACTTCTGAAGAATCAGTCATTGACAGCATTATGGAATGCAATTCTGCTTTGACACATGGGAGACCACCATAAGTGACTTCATGCCAACTGGTTTTAACCTCCTGGAGGGTGAAAACCACTTGGAGAAAAGACCTACCCATGCCACCTGAGGCCTTCAGCATGTGATGCAAGGCCATCCGAGATCATCCAGTTCCAGGCAAGTCAACCTATGAACTCCCAGCCATTGCAGCACATCAAGAGAAATGAGAGTTGTTGAGCCACTAGGTTTTGAGATGGGTCTGTTATTCCAGTAAGCGCTAATGTGCAGTTATGTTGAGTTTTCTGCCATAGGCAGTCAACCTAATATATAATCTCATTTGGTCTATAACATTATTTAGCTTTTCCTAAACAGTCAACAGACATTAATTTGTGTTCCCACCTTTATGGAAACCAAACCATGTTTTCCTCTTCCTGTTTGCACCTGACTTGCCTATCCAAATGAATGAAACTTAATGACACCACGTGCTAGACAAAAAGTTAAAATCAATAGGGAAGAAGGTACTTATTTAGTTACATACAATGGAGCAACAAGATAGAAGGACCCGAGGCTCCTAACACCATCTCACTCACAGTTCCTGCTCTCTGTTAAGCATTTTGACCTTATTCTTCTGCTATGTCCCCTTTAGAATCAATCTAGTCGATCTTTCTTTGTGATTTGCATTTATCAAAACTTGCTCTAAAGGAGTCGAACAGGGATTATGCAAAAGCATAGAGGAATAAGCCCATCCATTCACAATAGAGTACAGAGATGACCCAATCAGGGCTTGGGGATGCATGGTTGACAGAGGAAAGAGGGGTCCCCTGTTCACCATACCCTAGTTCCTCATACATTAGATTTGTGGAATGAGAAGTTCCTTGAATAAAGGATCAGTCTTCCAGATTTAAAGACAAGCTTTACATTTTAAATAGATATCATTTTCAGATTCTTAATCCCATACTAGGCAGTAAATTAGTGATGTCAGAGTTGATTCCAAAGCTCTCATCTTTATGTGGGTAAAAGAAGGAAAAAAAAATATGAGGGAGCTGGGGTTCTGACAAGAAGAAGGAAGGAAAAGAGGAGGGTGAGTTCCTAAGGGAGCAGGTCAATCCAGAAAAGGAGAATGGGGACAGCCACAGGTAGAGCCCATCCACTTGGCAATGTTGGGCCAGGTATCCGAATGTGGTGAATGGGGTGATGAATAAACAGAGGGCACTTACCTTTATTTACTTCCTTTTCCACTTCCAAAGGGTTTGCAATGTCAATTTCCAAGTCCTTGTAACTAACTTTTCCTTTCCACTCATCTCCATGCAAGAGTTTTTTCAGTTTCAGCACCAGCGGACATCTTGTAACAATACCTAGGAGGACATCTCCGTCAGTTCTCACACTTAAAAACCCTCTTTGGTGGTCTTGGACCACCATACAGCTGACTGATCCCAGGGGTTCTCAAATCTTTATACGATCTTCTGAAGAGATTGCTTCAATGCAAACTTCCTGGCCTGACTCTCTGATACTTTGATGGCCCCAGGGTGGCCTGGGAGGTTGTTGTTATGTGCCATGGAGTTGGTTCGGACTCATAGCGACCCTACACAGGGTTTCCAAGGCTGTTAATCTTTATGGGAGCAGAACGCCTCATCTTTCTCCCGCGGAGCAGCTGGTAGTTTTGAACTGCTGACCTTGCGGTTTGCAGCCCGATTCGTAACCACTACGGTACCAGAGACATCTTGAATCCCCTCTGTACTGGGTTAAATAGTGTTCTCCTAATATCCATGTCCTCTTGGAACCTCAGAAAGCAACCTCTTTTGAGAAAGGGTCTTTGCTGATGTAATGAATTAAGCGGAGGTCATACTAGAGTTTGGTGGGCCCTAAATCCAATGACTGAGTGTCCTTCTAGAATAAGGAGAAGCGGCACAGGCAGAGACTGGAGAGACTGGAGTAACGCATCTACATACAAATCAAATAGTGCCATGGATTGCCAACAATCTTAAAAAGAGGCAAGGAAGGATTCTGCCCTAGGGTTTGCAACGTAGTGGTTACGAATTGGGCTGCAAGCCACAAGGTCAGCAGTTCGAAACTACCAGTGGTTCCACGAGAGAAAGATGAGGCGGTCTGCTCCCGTAAAGATTTAGTCTCGGAAACCTTGTGTAGGGTCACTATAAGTCGGAACCAACTCTGTGGCACTTAACAACAACAACAGACATCTTGATCTGGAACTTCTAGTTTCCAGAACTCTGAGACAATAAATTTCTGTTGTTTAAAGCCTTGCAATACAGCAGTCACAGGAGACTCACACAGGGTACAGGTAGCTCTTGCCAGACATGATGGTAAGTCACTACTTCAGATCTCTTGATCACCAAGAGTTCTGCTGCCAGCACAGGTGAGACATTGTGGTGGGAAATCTCTAAGACTTACACAAATATTGTCCACCATGCCCCAGATATATACATTCCATTCCAACTAAGATATCTCACACTGATCAGAGCTGTGGAATAAGCAGTCTCTTGAATATGGGACAAGTCCTTCATATTCTGAGTTTCTTTCCAAACCCTTCCAATCCTTCAGGTCAAGGTCCACTTCCTTCCTGAAGCCCTCAGGAGGCTTTCACCTTCACTGCTTTCCTCAGTCTTGCAGCTCATCCTTATCCTATATACCAATCTTTGTCCCCCAAGATGGAAGGTAAGCTCTGGGAAGACACTCACATGCACATGGCTCTGGTCTGGGGATCTAGGTGCACTTAGTCAACCATCTGCAGCCTATAGGTCATATCCCACCCACCTCCATCTCCACCTCCACCTGCACAGAAATGTGTGATAAGAGAGTGAGTTCTCACCGCTGCCCCTGGGCAGGGCGACGCCTGACAGAGCCTCTAGCACCGAGCTCTTGCCGGAGCTCTGGTCCCCAATGACAGCGATGGCAGGCAGGGCCAGGTCCTGCTCCACGCCCAGGGCTCGCAGGGAATCGATGAGGTCGATGCAGGGGCGCACCTTCTCCTCATACTGGCTATACAGGGTGTTCTCAGCGAACTGCAAAAGTGGTAATGAGAACAGGGTCAAGTCTGCAGGTCATGTTCTATCAACTATATTGTGGTGGTTATGGCTTTACATGGGAGCAAGTTAGATTGCAATTTTGTTCCTCTAGAGTGGCTGTCAGTGTCTCTTGATAGCACAAATTTTTAAGGCCTTGGTTACTGATGGAAAAGACTCTATCCAGAAGTGTTTCAAGTTCTGGTGATGTACTTCTAAAGATCACAATCACTGAAAACTGTATGGAGCATAGCTCAACATGGGATCACGGTGACATGGGGTGACCTTGATGGTAACCAATAAAGAGGGTGCCAAGTGACTCCAACACCACACACTGGAGCCAGAGACCCTAGGCCCAGCTGACCAGGAGCTAACTGATCTATAATTCTTCACTCCTAATAAAAGGTATCACGAACACTAGAGAACAGAGAAAGGCAAGCTAGAGAAAATGTACCCCACACCACATGCAAGTGATGGGTACCTTGAGAAAGGAACCTGGATAATAAAAACAAAGCAAAAAAAAAAAAAAAACAGGGAAGAAGTTTCCATTTCTAGCCATGGACTAGATTTGCTCTCCTGAGACAAGTAGAAAACTGGGCAAAACATATGAAAACAAACAAACACTGACATTAGACAAGAGGCAGTGCAGGACCGTTTCACTGCTGTTATTAGCTGTCTTCAAATTGGCCCCCGACTCATGGCAACCCCATGCACAATGGAACGAAACACTGCCGGATCCTGTACCATCCCTACTAATGGTTGTGGATGGCACTATTGTGATCCATAGGCTTTTCTTTGGTTGATGCTTGGAAGTATATTGCCAGGCCGTTCTCCCTAGCCCATCTTAGTCTAGAAGTCCCACTGAAACCTGTTCAGCATCATAGCAGTGTACAAGCCTCCACTAATAAACAATGCATGAAGTGCATTGCTTGGGAATTGAACCTGGGTCTCCAGCATTGAAGGCAAGAATCCTACCACCGAACCACCACTTAGCCTCCTTTCTTTGTTTCCATTTCTTTATAGCATTCGTTCACAAGAGTATATAGAACATGAATAATGTAGTGAATATGTACACACCAACTGTGTAGCCTCTCCTTTAAACCCTACACAGGGTTACTGTGAGTTGGAACCGACTTGACGGCACTTAACAACAACAACGTAAGTCAGAACCAATTCGATGGCAATTAACAACCACTACCACCTGGTAGCGTAGTGGTTACGAGTCATGTTGCTAACCTCAAGGTCAGCAGTTTGAAACTACCAGCGGTTCCATGGGAGAAAGATGAGGTGTTCTGCTCCTGTAAAGATGTATAGCCTCGGAAACCCTGCGCAGGGTCACTATGAGTCAGAACCGATTCCATGGTACTTAACAACACCACCACCACCCTGGAAATCCACGCACCCCTCCTAGTATATCTTCCTCCAGCCCTCCCTCACCCGCCAACCAGGAATCCTCTATCCTGAATTTGTGATAACCACAGTCTTGCTCTTCTACACATTGGTATTACCTATAAATCTCTCTAAGCTTTGTGCCACCCCGGTCCAGAGTCCCAGAAAATGGAGGTAGCTAATTGTGACACTGTGGTTAATGCGCGGGACTGCAAAGTTGGTTTGAACTACAAGGTCAGCCGTTCAAGCTCACCAGCTGATCCTCGGAAATCTATACAGGATCGCTATGAGTCAGGACTGACTCGACTGCACTAAGCAACAACAATATAATAATAAACTTACTACAATGTTCTGATGATAAAAATAAAACTTGTTTCCTAAAGAAAAAAAAAAGTATAGGTTTTCAGAGGAGCAGCTGGTGAGTTTGAACCACTGACCTTGTAGTAGCCAGTACAGTGCTTATCCACAGGGACACACCAGCATTACAGACTACAAAATCCGGTGGAGCAGTTCTGCTCTGTCTTACAGGGCCCGCTGATTCCTAAGCAGGCAAAGCACTTTCTTTCTGCAGCCAGTCTTGTTGTTATGTGCTGTGGAGTCGGTTCCAACTCATAGTGATGTACAGGGCTTCGGAGGCTATATTTACAGGAGCAGAAAGCCTCATCCTTTCTCCAGCAGAACAGCTGATGGTTTGGAACTGCTGACCTTGCGGTTCACAGCCCAATTCATAACCACTATGCTACCAGAGCAGTCACTTTTAGTAAGTGCAAATTCCTGCTCCCATCACCCAGCAGGCACAGAGAAGAAGGCCATGGGAGGGAATGCATGAAAATGGAAAGTGATGTTAGAGTGGAAAGGTAGGTGGCTAGGTTATATTAATATTTTAAATACTGTTTAGCATTGCTTATGAATTGGAGTCACTCTGAAAGGGACAAAGCCGAATTCTTTCTATGCGTCCCATGTCACCTGCATTCTTGTACCAGCCACATAAAGTTAACACTATTACTCTCCCCACTAGAGATAAAGCAGGTTTTCATTATACAGGTAAAAACAGACATCCAAGATCACCCAGTGGGAAGTGTCAGGATGAGACCGAATTCAGTTCAGACTGATTCCAGAGCCCATGTTTGGTTCCCACAAAAATTACGTTTTGATTCTGTGAGCAAAGGCAGTATGAGGCTCACTGTTGTGATGCTACCTCAGAGCTTTGGCAGCTAAAGAAGGGACTGTGCCTAGGACCAGGGGTTAAGCCTACAAAAGCCAATCAATGCCTCATCTGGTTCCCCAGAGCTACTTTGTACCCTGGCCTGAGTCAGCTATGGCAAGATGTCTGTATTTGGCTATAAGATGGACCCAAGCAGAGGTAGCAGAGACTCCACATCCACATCCTGTCAGGAGAAGACTCACTCAGCAGGCATCTCGGACAATCAGTGCTGATGAAACAGACACAGCTCAGTTGAGCCTGAAGAGAGATTTTAAAACAACTTACCTGGTTCTGCTTGTCCTCTGGTATGCCCGCATCCGTTACCATATCAACATCTCCATTTAATAACGAATGATTATTAGGTGTAGCAGCTGAATTGGATGTTGATGTTCTCTCTTTATCATCAGTCATCTTCTTCCTTGGCTGATTAAGCCTAAAATCAAGAAGGTCAATATAAACATAAATCAAAAGCTGGATACAGCTATTCATGGAGCCATATCCATCACAAGAAGGGAAGCTCCTTGACGGAAGGGTCTTGGTCAACTTTAGTCACCGTGATGTCCCTCTAGTTGTTGCTGTTAGGAGCCATCGAGTCAGTTCCAACTCATAACGACCTTACTCACAACAGAACTAAATACTTCCCGGTCCTGCACCAAACTCACAACAGTTGTTACGCTTGAGCCCACTGCAGCTGCCACTGTGCCAATCCATCTCATTGGGGGTCTTCTTCTTTTTCACTGACGCTCCACATTATCAAGTATGATGTCTTTCTCCAGGGAATGGTCCCTCTTGATTGCATGTGTGAAGTATGAGAGACAGAAACCTCACCATCCTGGCTTCTAAGGAGCATTCTGGGTGTACTTCCTCCAACACAGATCTGCTTGTTCTTCTGGCAGTTCATGGTACTTTTCCAATACCATAAATCAAATGCATCAATTCTTCTATGGGGTTTTATTAACTGTTCAACTTTCATATGCATATGAGGCCACTGAAAATTCCATGGCTTGGGTCAGACGCACCTTCCTTCTCAAACTGACATTTTTGCTCTTTAACACTTTAAAGATGTCTTGTGCAGCAGATGTGTGTAATGCAATACATCCTTTGATTTCTTGACTGTTGCTTCCAGGAGTGTTGATGGTTGATTTAAGTAAAATGAAGTCTTTGACAACTACAATCTTTTCTCTATATATCATGCTGCTATTTATTGGTCTAGTGGTGAGGATTTTTGTTTTCTTTACATTGAGCCTTTTTACTGAAGGCTGTGGTCTTTAATCTTCATCAGTAAGTATTTTAAGTCCTCTTCACTTTCAGCAAGCAAGGTTGCATCATCTGCATATCGTTGGTTGTTAATGAGTCTTCCTCCAATCCTGATGCCATGTTTTTCTTCATAGAACCCAGCTTCTCGGATCATTTGCTCAGTATACAGATTGAATAAGTAAGGTAAAAGAGTACAACCTGGTGCATACCTTTCCTGATTTTAAGCAATTCAGTGTCTCTTGTTCTGGTCCAACAAGTAAGTGTTCCCTTATTCTCGTCCAACAATTAAGTGTTCCAGAACATTCATTCTCTGCAGAGTTGTCCATAGTTTTTCATGATCTATGGCACTGTGGGCTAACGTGTCAGACTGCAAAGTCGTTTGAGCTGCAAGGTAGGTGGTTCAAACTCACCAACTGCTCTTTGGAAACCCTATACAGGGTGGCTATGGGTCAGAATTGACTCGATGGCACTTAACAACAACAACAAACATAGTCAAAAACTTTTGCATATTCATTAAAGTACAATTAAACATATTTCTAGTATTCTCTGCTTTCAGCCAACATCCATCTTATTACGTCAGCAATGATCTCCCTCATTCCACATCCTCATCTGAATCCTGCTTGAACCTCTAGCAGTTCCCTGTCAATGTATTGTTGCAGCCGCTTTTGAGTTATCGTTAACAAAATTTTACTTGCATGTGATATTATTATTACTAAATGATTTCTGCATTTCATTGGGTCGCCTTACTTTAGAATGTACACAAATATGGATCCTTCCCAATCAGTTAGCCAGGTAGCTGTCTTCCAGATTTCATGGCATAGATGAGTGAGTGCCTCCAGTGCTGCATCAGTTTATTGAAAATTTCTATTTGAATTCCATCAATTCACAGAGACTTGCTCTTTGCCAATGTCTTCAGTGCAGCTTGGATTTTTTCCTTCGATACCATTGGTTCTTGATCATATGCTCTTGAAATGGTTGACTAGTGACCATTTCTTTTTGGTACAGTGACTTTGTGTACTCTTTCCATGGTTTCTGCATCAACACTATTTTGCCTATTGCTGTTGCTATTGTTAAGTGGTGTGGCATCAAGCTGGTTCCAACTCAGAGTGACCCTGTGTAGGGTTTCCAAGGAGCGGCTGGTCAATTTAAACCACTGACCTTGCAGTTCAAATAGATCTTGTGGTCCACTGCATTATCCCAACCAGGACTCGTATGTTGCTATTGTTGTTAAGTGCCATTGAGTTGATTCTGACCCATTACGGTCCTGTATAGGGTGTCCGAGGAGTAGCTAGTTAGCTTGAGCCGCAACCTTCCAGGTCAAACTGACTTTGTAGTCCAGCACATTAATGCACAGTGCCACACTAGGACTCCAGGACTTGTATGGTGGTAGTGGTGGCGGTGGTGTGCCGTGGTGTCAGTTCCAAATCATAGCGATCCTGTACAGGGTTTCCAAGACTGTAAACCTTTACAAGAGCAGAAAGCCTCATCTTTCTCCCACGGAGCAGCTGGTAGTTTCAAACAGCTGATCTTGCGGTTTGCAGCCCGATTCGTAACCACTATGCTACCAGAGCTCCTTATAGAAACCTTCAATACTACAAACTGAGGCTTGAGTTTTTTTCTCCAGTTCTTTCAGCTTGAGAAATGCTGAGTATATTCTTTCCTTTGGGATTTTTATTCCAGGTCTTTGCACATCTCATTATATCACTTGACTTTGTCTTCTCAAGCTGTGCTTTGGAATTTTCTGCTCAGCTCTTTTGCCTTTTCATGACTTCCATTTACTTTAGCATCTCTACATTGAAGAGCAGACTCCTGGTGTGGCACTGTGGATAATGCGCTGGATTGCAAGGTGGGTTAGGACCGCAAAGTCGGAGGTTCAAGCTCATCAGCTGCTGCTCAGAAATCTTATATAGGGTCACTATGAGTTGGAACTGACTCAATGGTAGTTAGCATCAACAACAACAACACTGGAGAGGAAGTTTCAGATTTCTGACATCCATTTTGGTGATGTCCCTAGTACTTAGCAAAGTGCCTGGAACACAACATGAGCTCATTAACTGTCACTGATAGAGGAATTGAAGGAATATGGAAGCACTAATGTAGCCATTTTTAGGACTTAACAAAATAATCAAGCACTGATTATTTTGTTAAATTATACTGAGACATCCAATCACTTTGTGAATTGGTGTGGATGCCAGAGTGATAACACTGTAACCTACCTGCATGCTGAGTTGTTGTTGTTAGGTGCCATCGAGTCGATACCAACTCATAGTGACCTTATGCACAGCAGAATGAAACAATGCCCGATCCTGGGCCAACCTCACTTGTTGCCACGTTTGAGTCCATCAATGCTGTGGCTTGGCCAATCCATCTCATTGGGGGTCTTCCTCTTTTTCTCTAAACCTTCCATCTTACCAAACATGATAGCCTTCTCCAATGACTGGTCCCTCCTGACATTATGTCCGTTGGGTACTTTTAATATTCTTCTCCAGCACCATAATTCAAATCCATCAGTTCTTCTATGGTCTTCTTATTCACTGTCCAACTTTCACATGCATATGAGGTTATTGAAAATACCATGACTTGGGTCTTGTGCAGCAGATTTGTCTAATGCAATACATCATTTGATTTCTTAACTGCTGCTTCCATGAGTGTCCATGGTGGATCGACACTCATGGAATAAGTATGGTGAAAGAATATAATAAACCCTGGCACACATTTTTCCTGATTTTAAACCATTCATTGTCCTCTTGTTCTGTTCGAACAACCGCCTCTTGGTCTATGTACAGGGTCCTCAGAAACACAATTGAGTGTCAGGAATATCCATTCTGCACAATGTTGTCCATAGTTTGTTATGTTCCACATAGTAGAATAAATTCCCCAAATAATTCTATTTTTGTGCTATACATTTGCTTTGAAAGCATGCATTTGACCATCTTATCATACTCATCTGCATAGAATAAACTATGTTATTAATATTTCAAAGAGCCTCTCAGTAATGCAAACAGTTAATGCACTAGGCTGCTAACTAAAAGGTTATAAGATCAAGCCCACCTAGAAGTGACTGAGAAGGTTCTGGAGATATACTTTCTAAAAAACAGCCATTGGAAGCCAAAGCAACACAGTTCTACTCTGACAGATATGGGTTTAACTTGACAGCAACTGGCTCCTACGTCTTTGAAATTCATTTAAAATTTTTTTCTAGAACCATAAGGAGTGGTGTGGTGCTGTGGGCTAATGCATCAGACTGCAAAGTCGTTTGAACTGCAAGATTGGTGGTTCAAGCTCACCAGCTGCTCCTTGGAAACCCTATACAGGGTCGCTATGGGTCGGAATCGACTCGATGGCACTTGCAAACCACACAACATAAGATAATAAAATAAATATGAAATTTACAGCATCCAATAGTTTTTAGATAAAAATAAGTGAAAAAGTTTCTCTTATGAGACATAATTAATTTTATATATAAAAACAAACCCCACTAACTTACCTTCAAAAATTCCGTTCCTTTTACTTTGAAGAGATAATGCTGGTCAGAGGAAAATCAAGAACTGTTCTCTGACACCTCCTAAAAATCATGCAAAATATACAAATTAGACTAATTTCCAGGAAAATGAATGAGAGCACTCCCCAAGTACATTCCCATTGCTTGGAATAGTGCTAATGTACCATTCTAATGGGAATACTTGGAAGCCATTCATATTTCCCCAGAACTCTTTCTATAACTCTTGAATATTTTATTATAAATGCATGGATAAGGCTCAGTACTTTGCAATACGTTCAGTGCCTGGATTAACCATTGTTACTTTGCTTCTTCGCATGGGACGCTCCCCAAAAACCATGCAATCTTTGTCCACAGTGGAAAGCCTGAAGATGCAAGTTTGTTAAATAGATAGCCAATATCACCCTAGCCCATTTTGTAACTCAACCTTTCTCCTGTAATTTTTTTACTTTCCCAAAGTAACTGGCATTTACTTTTTTTTCTTTTAATGGTGAAAAGAGTGAACAAGATATCTTGTACGTTGTTGACCAAATGAACTGATTTTCAGAAACCAAACTGAGCATGAGCTAAGTGCGTGGGTGGAGCCGGGGATGTGTGTGGCCATATTTTGGAAAGGGACTGGAGGTTAAGCAAGGTAAAGTTGGATAATATTTTA